ACATCACAAGTCATAAAGAGCTTGAAGGTTAAGTTTTTGATGTGCTCTGATTTTTGACACCTGTTAATACATCAAGAACGTTTATATCATTGGTGATGCCATGCCCTTGGGCATTTAGGATGTGGCCAACCATAGCTTTTATCTCTAGGGCCCTGGTTTCTGCTACTGCAACTGACCAAGTGTAAATACCTATTTTCCTTTGACTGCAGAACCCCACATAGTTCAGGAAAACAACCACTTGGCTCAGGGTGCAGTCTTATTTACCAGCCACTGCTCCTGGGAGGAACCCCATTGGGGACTTTTCTTTTGGCCCTTCACCTTCACCCTGTACCCAATAAATGAAAAGTCGCTTGCTCTGAACAAGTGTTGGTTTAATTTGTTTTTTAAATCTGGGAAATCCAATAGGCTGGCTTTTTGGTTCTCCAGTTCTACTTCCTGATTTCACAATTAGAAGTGAATAGATCTGTGGGAGTTTGACCAGAAGGCTAAGGGAGTAGAGCTCAGGGCAAGGGTCTCTTTGTGTGGATGGACTTAGTGTAGCACAGTGGTCTCGGAGCACTCAATTTCTGATTCAGTTTGCCACTAGTGTTCTTCCCTCCTTTATGGACATTCGTTCAAGTCTGCTCAAAGACAACGTGCCCATACTTGCCTTTTGTGTTTTATGATTTTCCTTACCAGGATCATCAGTGACTTCCTGCTTGCCTGATTACTTCTACCTGCATCTTCTTCCCTTTCTGCATCTCTTCATGTTCACACTTGCCCACTGGTCAGATATTTAGCAGAGCCTCATTGGCTGTTATATTCACAGTGGCTTAACAACACTGCTGTTCCTGGAAACCCATTGTGGTATTCAGTGCTGTGTCTGTCTTAATCCTCTCAACCTACTGCCTCACTATCAGGCTGCTCTTAAATTTTACTACTATTTCTGCCATGTGGATGAGGAAGCAGATACATCATAGACTGTAGGCTGTCCCATCAATAAAACCATACACACTTGGTACAGCTGGCAGGCAAGGCCCTCTGTCAGGTCTATTTCACAAAAGTCTAGGCTCTCAGCCTCGTCATGGACCTATTTTAATGGGTAAGTTTGTTAAGAGTCTTTCCTTCTATTCTTTCTTGAATAAATAAATGAATCAGAATTTTGGTAATGTAACACAGGTGCAGTATAGTGTATGTAGCATATGTGTGTACTGCTCAATGGCTTTTTTCATGGTGGCGCCCGCCCTTGTAAATAGTCCTTAAATTAAGGAGCAGAAAAGACCCATTGCTCCAGAAACCCCACTTCAGCCATGAGATTAGCCACTCCAATGACCAACAAATTTTGCTTATCTCTTGGCTGTATAAATGCAACTAGCTATATGCATTCTTTCATCTGGCCTTATTCAGAATTCAGGTTTGAAGGATATTTATAGAATAAAATATTCCTTTATCTTTAAAATATACCTGTGGCCAAGGGCACTGTGAAAATAATAAGTCCACAAATAAACAATTAGGTATTATTTATTTATTTTTTGTGTTGGGGATGGTATATGACAATAGGTTTTAAATCATGTGCCATTCTGAGTAGTAGGATTGCTGCATTTCACATGGGAAGCTAACTGAGCTTTTATTGGTTTGGTTTACTTTCTATACACAGAGCATGTAAAAGGGTCTCACTGTATTGCCCAGGCTGCCCTAGAAATCAGAATGCCCCTGATTTTGCCTCCTGAGTGATACCATCTCAGTCCAGATCAGCTATTAATTGTGACATTGTGTTGCCTGTGTCTTCAATAATGGTCCCAAAGTATAAGAGTGACAATGCTGGTGATGTGATTAGAGTATATGGTGCTTGCTCTGTTTTATTATTCATCTCTTACTAGCATGATTTCTAAGTCAAATCATACCATATATTGTATGTATAGGGAAAGCTCAAGTATAAGCAGGATTCTGCATTGTGTGTTGTTTCAGGCATCCACCAGGGTCTGGAAATCTATCCTTTGGGGATGAGGAGGGACAGTTGTCCTCACTGTTTTTTTTGTAAGATTCCTTCCTGCTTGGTGTTACTATTTCTAGTTTCTCAACCAGTAGGGAAGGTAAGTATTCTCTAGGATCGCTAACATTGTCATGATGGGCTGTTCAATGGTCCTGCTGTTTTTATAGGTGAATAAGTAATCCCAGTGGTCTCGGTGCCCCTCTTGTTTTCCTTCCTGTGGTTCCCTGCAGGAGAGCTCATAGCCTTTGTGTTTATGTTCAGGTCAGACTCTGCAGCACTGAGGAGCAGCTCCTGCTTGCCAAGGCCACAGAACTAGTGCATTAGCATCTGTATGGGCTTTCCACCCATGGGAAGCTTGGGTGTTCCTAGCTCTGACAGAAGTTTGCTACACTGTGAATTGGTTTTAAATTGCCTCTGTGATGCTCACAGGCCTCATGTGTTAAAAGAAAAACACCTGGGAGACAGGGTCTCCCAAAAACTAGCAGGAAGTTAGCTTTCCTATCTGTACTTTGTAAGTCCGTTTTATTAATCTGGAATACTAACTCTAATCATCAAGGCTCCAGCTGAAGTAACATATAGCATCCTCCCACTAAAAACCTGGGATTGCTGGATGAGCACTGTGCTGCTGTTCTTACAGCCAAAGATTTTGATAGTCAGGTTCTCTTCCCCACTTAAACCAGTTATAAAATGATACAGTCCAGTGTGTTGTTTTATAGGAACTTGTTTGCCAGTTCTTCAGCATTACTTGAATACTCATTTGTCACTTTAATACCCACACCCCACCATTACCTCAAGTCGTGTCGCCTGGCATTTGAACTACCATGCTGGATAATCAACATGACAAACCTAGAATCACCTGGGAAGAGAGTCATAATGAGGCATTATCTAGATCAGGTTGGCCTGTGAGCATGTCTGGGGAAGATTGTCTTGATTGCCCATTGTGGGCAGCACCATTCCCTAGGCAGGAAGGCCTGAAAAGTATAAGAGGAGAAAAGCAAATAAGCAAGGATCCTTCAGATATTCTTTCTCTGCTCTTGACTATGGATGTGATGCTTTAAGTTCCTGCCTTGACTTCCCCATAGTAATAGACTATAACGTGGAATTATAAGACAAATAAGTCTTTCCATCCCTAAGCTGCTTGTTGCAGAGTATTTTATCACAGCAACAGAAATGAAGTAGACTGTCACATAACTTGCTCCACTGAATTTTGTCCTACCAGAGTTATTTGAAATCCAGAATTCTTGTAGGACAGAAATAATAGACTTATACTCCTGTGCTTTGGTGGCCTTGTATTCAAGGACAACAAAATGCTACTTGACTGAAACTTCAGATATCCCCATAATAAATAACATAGCTCCTGTTCAAATAACTATAAAATGCATGCAGATAGATAGATGATGATAGATAGATAGATGATGATAGATAGATAGATAGATAGATAGATAGATAGATAGATAGATAGATAGATAAAAATACAGGATTTTGTTGGATTGGAAAACACTGTGATATTTAGAGGATTGAGAACCCAAGGCCTGAGGTAATTTTACATACATATGTATCTCCCAGAACATTCTATGTGGCTCCCATTCTGTGGCTCAGCTCTTGAAATTGAACCATATTATCTGATTGACGGGCCTAGTGGTACATGCCTGTCATCTAAGCTCATTGGGAGGATGAAACAGGACCATGGCAAGTTCAAGGCCATCCTGGACAACTTATTGGTACCTGTCTTAAAATAAAAATAAGGAACTAGAGATGCAACTCTAAGTAGAGTGCTTGCCTAGCATTTTTAAGCCCCTACATTCAATCCTGAGTAATGCAAAGGGAAAATAGAAAAGCCAAAACATATCATTTCATCTCTGGCACTGCAGAGACTAATAATAAAGCAGTGTCATTAAAGGTTTAGGCCAAATAATCATTTTCCATTAGTAACTAGAACTAGTTTTCCAGAAGATAATTGACATATACAATCTTTTCCTTTGGTTGAAGGGAGAATTTTCAGTCTTTATTTATTCGATATTTTGTTTCTATGGAGGGAAATAATAGTCTGTATTTTATTTTCAAGCTAATGAATGTGCACCGTAAGTGCAGGCTAGTAAAGACTTGATGTCAGGTATCAATTTTCAGTTTTGTGCCAAGTTATTTTACACAGTTTGATTTACTAACAGAATAAAAGTTTAAGCTCTGTGTTAAGTATTCATATTATTTATATATGTTAGTGTCAAGGACAGGCTCCAGAAGGGCCTTATTCGTAGGAGGTTGTAGGAAGGAGGAAATCATGTGTCTTCCTTTATGCTCTGTACTTTAACTTCTAGATATAGTGATGCCTGACATGAGAAGGAGGAAAAGTGTTCTCCAGCCTGGTGTGTGGAACACTGAATTGAAATATTCTATGTCTTCCATTCTCCAAAGTGTATTTACTGTATTTATACTTCGTAATATCTATTGTATACCAGCTCTTGGAAGTCAAATAATAATGTAATCCATCAGAAGTAAAAACTCTTGTTGAATTTTGTTGTGGACCCAGAAGTTTGGACCTATGATCAGGCTCATCTGTGCTAAATGGGCAAAAAGAAAGAAGTAGCAAAATAGCCTGGAAATTTACTTCTTTTTCTCATAAAAGTTACTAGCTGTCAGCCACCCAGGACAGGTGTCATAGCCCAACAGTGTCTTCTAACCTTCCTGTGCAGTTAATTTCCATCTTCAAAGTCACCATGTAGCCAAAAAGAGCTGCCAGAATCTAATTTTTATGTATTAAAAATATTTAAAATAGGGCTGGAGAGCTGGCACAGCTGTTAAAGTCTCAGACTCACAACCAAAAATATTTAAATAGAGTTTAATATAGGTGTGTTTTAGAGTATTCTAAAATACCTTGAGTATAAATTTTAAATATTGTCCATCAGTAAATATTTCTGCCTGTATTGATTTCAGAAGAAGAAACCATTGCAAGGGAACCTTTGCCCTTTCTCATCTCTTGGGTCATGACTCACCCCTTTATAATAAGTATGTTTTTCTTTTCTCTCCCAAGTGCATACTCCTTCCATGTCACTGCGGATGGCCAGATGCAGCCTGTTCCTTTTCCACCTGATGCCCTCATTGGACCTGGGATCCCTCGTCATGCTCGCCAGATCAATACCCTCAACCATGGGGAGGTGGTGTGTGCAGTAACAATCAGCAACCCCACCAGGCACGTGTACACAGGCGGCAAGGGCTGCGTAAAGGTTTGGGACATCAGCCACCCTGGCAACAAGAGCCCTGTCTCTCAGTTGGACTGTCTGGTGAGTAAGCAGGATCCATGTGTCCAGGTCATTGCTCCTGGATCTAGGGCCGGACTTCACTTACATTGAAAGGAAATGGGAACCCCATCCTGTTTCTGTGTTAGCTGTTCAGCCCCTTCCTTTTTCTGAAAGGGATTGGTGATGAAGCCGGTTAGAGAGCTGGTTGGACCTTCTTACCCTAACTTTAGGAATAGTTAAGGATCACACCACAGAATGCCAGGGCAGCAGTCAGTAAGACAGGAAACAGGAAGAACTGTCTCAAGGCACCAGACCACCCACTCCAGAGCCTGAGGACACCCATTTGCATTTTTAAGGACATAAGAACACACTAGGACATGCCCTAATCTCTAAAGTGTAACCTTAAGATTACCACACATATATGTCGACCTTTAGCAGCCTGCCTGGAAGATTTAAAGAGTGTAGAGACAGTTCCCAGAAAACAAAGGGGCAGAGATTTTAGATGCAAAGACTTGGCAGGGGAAAGGGATGGGTAGTCATTAGCAAATTTTGTTTTGTTTTCTTTTAGTTTTGTAATTAAATAATTTTAAAATAAAGCCTGGCATGGTAGCCCACAAACTTATACTGCCAGTACTAGGTGGTAAAGACTGTAATCACACTAGTCTGAAGCCAGTCTTGCCTATGTAGCAAGACCTCATCTCTGAAAGAAAGGAGGAGGCAGGGGTGTTCTTTAATGAATTTCATACTTGAGTGTAGCCCAGTCTTCTACAGCAGTAGGCATCTGTGAGTAAAGTTTCTCTGGTCTTTGCAGGCCCCTGCGGGAGTGGTTCTGTTTGAGTACGAGTGGGAGGACAGCCTTCATTTCTTCCTCGGGTGGATCACATCAGTCTCTCCCTTTCCCCTCTCCATCTGTTGGCTTTGATGGAGATTTACCTTTTATCAGTTTCTTTGGCCTTTGGATCAGGGGGTTCCATAGGACAACAGCCATGCTAAATGTTGAAAAATCGGCTCTGCTAAAGTCTTAAACGATGATGACTTTCTGCACATTGGACAGTGTCAGGAATAATGAAAACCAGATATGTCTAGTGCGTCTTCACTGTCAAAGTGATAAATAAAGGAGAGGGAAGGTGTTTGAAGTATTTACAGAGAAAGAAGTGTACACATGTACACACATATACCTTCCACCTAGATGCTTTTAGGTATAATCTGGAGCAGTGCTTTATTTTTGTTTTTTGTTTTGTTTGAGACAGGGTCTTCCTGGTAGCCTCAGCTGGCCTGAAACTTGATATGTAGATCAGACTGGGCCTTGATATTGCAGAGATCCACCAGCCTTTACATACCAAGTGCTGGAATTAAAGGCATGTGCCACCATACCCAGCAAGGAACAGATTTTAATCTGAGCTTCTGTATAGGGCTGAACTATCCTGTAAGTTTGTTTTATTTACTGCTTTGAAGAAGACAATTGCTATTGGACCCTGATCTTTCCTGTAGAATGGAGTGCCCATGAAACACCACTTTTGAAGTTAAAAACCAGGGCAGCATTTAGGAATTCACAGTATTAGCAGTTGGCAGTGCACTACAGTGATTGCATTCTGTTATTTCACAGAATAGAGATAACTATATCCGTTCCTGTAAATTGCTACCTGATGGCTGTACTCTCATAGTAGGAGGGGAAGCCAGTACTCTGTCCATCTGGGACCTGGCAGCTCCCACCCCTCGCATCAAGGCAGAGCTGACGTCATCAGCTCCTGCCTGCTACGCTCTGGCCATCAGCCCCGACTCCAAGGTCTGCTTCTCATGCTGCAGTGACGGCAACATTGCAGTGTGGGATCTGCACAATCAGACCCTGGTGAGGTAAGTACAGGGACCCTTCTAAGGGAGGTTCCTTTGAGGGAGGTCTCTTGCCTCTGCTCCTGAGGCCGCCTCCAGGCTCTCAGCCTGTCTTTTAAGAGCCTGTTGTTTGTCATGCGGAACTAGGTTCTAGGGATGCAAAGACAAGCTGTATGGCCAGCTGAGGGTAAGCTGTGCAGTCTTATGTGCCAGTGTCACCAGCACCTTTTCTCCTTTGGCTCATATTGAGATGCTGTATGGCTTTGTTAAGGGATGGCATATAATGTGGATAAAGTGACAGTGCAAAGGGCCTCAATCTATGTAGTATGTGCTTGGCTATAGGCGTGTTTGCAGATGGAAGTCTGATTCAAGACAACAAAAATAACCAAAAAATAAACATTGAAAATGAGCTTTCATGAATTGAAACCACAAAAATCATTTTAAAGTATCTGTGTTTCTCAGAACCTAATTGAGAAGGTTGTTTCACTTAAGGATTACCTGGGACTCCTGTCAGGCTATTTAGGGTCCCCTTCTCCTCAACAGCTTAACTGGTTCCGTTCAGTACTCATACCAGAGGTGGTGCAGAAAAGTATTTTTTAAAGTCAGCACTTAAATCAGGTGTGGTGCTCAGTAGTCGTCATCCCCGCATTTGGGAGGTGGAGGCAAGAGGACTTAAGTTCAAGGCTATCTGTGCTGCCATCCTCTGTACATTATAGACAGTGAACCTGAGGCACAGAGAAGTTATTTTGCCCTGGTCGAATGGTCAGAGAGTAGAAAGCTGGAGGGGCACCCGTCTGTGCTGTCAGTCTTCAGGGAAAGATGCTTTGAGCAAAAAAACATTCACTGAATTGAAGAGGTGACAAGAAGTCTGGGTAAAGAGAAAGGCTGCCTCCATTGTTTGAAGGGGAAAGAAGAAAGCGAACCACAGACACTTCTTCAACCCTGACTGATCATGGAGAGGGCTTATTGGCATTGCTGAGGTCCACATGCTTGGCCACAGTGGGGAAAACTGGGCATGTGGGAGGAAAGGACTACCTGGGACAGGATATGAAGTCAGGACTTTCAGGGTAGCTTGTGAAAGGAAAATTTCTAACGTAAAGGTTCTGTCTTGACTGAGAACTCTGTGCAGTAGTGGTGATTTTTTTTTTTTTACTTCCCTTGTACTTTTAAATTCTAAGCTTGGTACTCTCTGGGAATAATAAGATATTGGGGGGGAAGGAGGTGTGGGAAAGAAGGGTTATTTTTGGCACTGAAATTCCTAATACTTCTTTGCTGGGTCCTGACCTCTGACAAACTCTGGCCAGTGCATGCATAGCACTGTCAAGTTTGTGATAGCCATTGCGTGTGTGTCTCTCACCCCAGCCTCTGTGCTCATATTGCTCTCCTTACTGCCAGTCTGACCTGCTCCCTCATGTAGCACTTGGGCTAAGAACAGTCCCTGCTGCCTGGTTGTTTCAAATGATGCTCTTTGAATGCTGCACAAGGGTTCCCTATAAGGAAAGCCATTTGTTGGGAATAGAGTCTGGCAAGGTGTCTGTCCTCAGCCCTTAACTTTGTCTTTACCCAGCACCTCTGTGGTCAGGTGCCTCCCTGACCTTTGTTCTCCTGGAGTTAACATGTCCTAATGTGGGGCCCTTTTGGACTCCGAAAGCAAGGCTAAGTACACAGGTGAACTCATGCTGTGCTGCCAGAAAGGGCACTGTCCTGTCCATTCTCTCCTGATCAAGTAGGTTCTTAGAATATAGTCTCTACCTTCTCATGGATTTAATCCATGGCCACTGAAGGACAAGACTATCTTTCTTAGTTTCTATTTGTTCTTTTTTTTTTGGAGACAGGGTCTCACTATGCAACCCTGGTTAACCTGGAACTCACTATGTAGATGAGACTGGCCTAGAACTCACAGAGGTCCATCTGCCTCTGCTTTTCAAGTGCTGAGATTAAAGGCATGTGCCAGCACACCTAGCCAGTCTTTATCTTTTCTTAAGGAAAGTACTTGGGTTTTGTGTTTGTCTTTATTGTCTTTTAGTATTTTAGCACTTTTGCAGCCTAATAGGAGTTTTATTAATCAATTTATCAGAGAAACTCTGGTAACATACTTGACTTCTAGACAGCAGCCTCAAATAGCATTGTATTTTGGTAGACCTTGGATCATGAAAAAAAGAAACAAAGCCGGCTAGTGTTGTTTCCTGTGCTCCTGGGGGAAGGTTAGCTTGATCTTGCACACCAGCAGACACTATGAGATGAAACACAGTGAGTCCAAAACTAACAACACAACAGTGTTTACCTTAAGCTCTGGCAGGAAATCATTATTCAATCTGGTTTGTTTTATCAGGCAATTCCAGGGCCACACAGACGGAGCCAGCTGTATTGACATTTCTAATGATGGCACCAAGCTCTGGACAGGAGGTTTGGACAACACGGTCAGGTCCTGGGACCTTCGTGAAGGGAGGCAGCTACAGCAGCATGACTTCACTTCACAGGTGACTGCCCGACTCAGACTTGCTGTGGAGTCAGGAGGGTTTCTCTGTATCACCCTTCAGGATTGGATCCAGGCAGATCATCATTGAATTTAAAATAACACATTTAAACCACACATACTTTGCCCCTAAAACTCTTAAAAGTTAAAGTATGTTAGCTGCTTTATGGACTTACAGATTTGGTGACGGAGTTCACACAGCTTAGGATATGCAAGTTTCCTTCAGCATTTTATAGTTTGTTATGTATATTCTCACCATCTAATGCAGAATGAGGAATGAAAGTTGATTTGTTTCAAGGATTTTAGGAACTTGTAGCTGGCAGCTGTGGTGGCACACACCTTTAATCCCAGCAGTCAGATCTCTGTGAGATCCAGGCCAGTCAGGGCTGCATAGTGAGACCCTGTCTAAAAGAACCAAAAAAAACTTGTGACTGGAGATCAATGAATGTCTATCTTAAATACTCCTTCACTTTAAAAAGAAGAGTCAACGGCCAGTTAGATCTGTGGAGTATTTTATCTTATTTTTTGGTCTTTTGTTTTTTTTGAGACACTCTCCCTGTAGCCCCAGCTGAAAGTACTAGACCAGGCTGGCCTGGAACTCATAGCGATCCACCTGCCTCTGCCTCCCAAGTGCTGGGATTAAAGGCGTGCACCACCATGCCCAGCCTAGAGTATTTTTTTAAGACAGGATCTCACTCTGAGCCCCAGATCCTGGCTGGTCTTGAACATAAGGCAGTCCTCTTACTTCATCCTGCTGAATTTTGGAATTGCAGGTATAAACCACTATGCCTGACTGGGATTTTCAAATAATAAAAAATCAGCAACTTTTGAGATTGTAGAAATTTGTTAGATGTCCTATGTCTACATCTAGACTGCTTGCCTTTTTTTCACGTGTCTTTGGGTGGTAGAATTGTTCTTTTCATTGTTTCTTAAATTTTGTTTATTTATTTGGTCATAAAAATGACAACTAAAAAACAGGGCAGAAATGAATGGAAAACAACTGTATGTATCATCTTATTTCATTTCTGTTGCTGTGATGAAATACCTTGGCAAAAGCAGCTTAGAGGAGAAAGAATTCGTTTTATTCCACAGTTCCAGGTTATAGCCTGTCATTGTCAGAAAAGCACAGTGGCAGGACTTTGAGATGGCTAATGACACTGCATCCATAGTCAGGAAGCAGAGAGGACCAAATTAATGCGTGCATTCATCATCATCCCCCCTCATGTTTGCTGCCCCATGCTACCCCTTCTTGCCTTTTAATTTTCTTAATTTCTGGAGTAAAGTCAGCCTTGACCTTGTCCTGCTCATGACAGATCTTCTCCCTGGGGTACTGCCCGACTGGGGAGTGGCTTGCTGTGGGCATGGAAAGCAGCAACGTGGAAGTTCTGCATGTGAACAAACCTGACAAGTACCAGCTGCATCTCCATGAGAGCTGTGTGCTGTCCCTAAAATTTGCTTATTGTGGTGAGTTCAACTATGAGGACACTGGAGGCTGTTGATGCCCTAAATGGAAAATACTTCTAAAAAATATGGTTAGAGATGATATCTGGAAAAAATGCTGCTCTCTAAGCATCAGGATACAATAATTCTATTGTTTTAATATGCCCCTCAGAACAGAGTAACATCTGTTTGAGCCTGTTTGTTAATTTGACAAAAATCAGCAGGCACTGAAACAAGGTTTGGACATGTGTTTGTTTTTTGGATGGGGTGTGGAGTAATTGTTACTGCTCTGAAGTGGGGAGGGTGAGAATTTTTAGAAAAAGGGACAAGAGCAGTACTTTCTGTAGTGAGGAACCAAGACCAGAAAGATGTTTAATTGCAGACTGGTTTTTTTTCTCTGCTAAGAGAAAAATGTGGAGGCTGTCCTTCTCATTGTGAGTGGTCACATTTGTTTTCTGAGTAAGTAGATGGATGAATGTGTATCTAACTAGTCAGGCATATTTATTTTGACATCTAGTTCAACATCTGATTCTCTATGTTCTCATTTTTTCATAAAACTGAAATTTGCTGTGAAGCAGAGTCATGTATCCAGTGACTGATTGGACTGACATCTTTTTATATATACGTATGTGTGTGTGTGTGTGTGTGTGTGTGTGTGTGTGTGTGTGTGTGTGTGTGTTGAGGCCTGAGGTTGACTTTGGTGTCTTCTTCTGTTGCTCACTTTTTGAGACAAGGTTTTTATTAAATCTGGAGCTTGCCTTTTTGGCTAGTCTGGGTTTAGCACGCCCCCAGGATATACCTGTTCTCCCACATACACACTTTCCCCAATGCCTGGGGTTATAGGTTCACACAGCCACATGCTAGAAATCTGAATTCATGTCCTCATGCTTGCACATGCTGTTCCACTGAACCATTTGTGTACTCAGCCCCCTGACAACTTATTTGATTAAAAACAAGATCACACCAAGAAGCCTAAATTTAAAACCTGCTTGGAGCATAGAAATGGTAGTTCATGTGTTGAACAGTGATATGTGTGGGGTGAGCAAGATATCTCAGTGAATAAAAGCACTTGCACACAAACCTGGAAACCTGAGTTCTGTCTCCAAATTCATGTAAAAATTTGGATGTGCTAACATGCATCTGTAACCCCAGTACTACTACAGTAAGATAAGAAGCAGAGATAAGATTTCCCTGGAAGCTCACAGACCAGCTAAACCTAGAGTACACAGCGCAGCATCAGAAACAAGAGAGACCCTGCACAGTGGAAAGAGAGAACTAACTCCCCAAAGTTGTCTTCTCACTTTCATAAATGGTCCAGTCCCTGGCATTTGCATACCCCCCCCACACACAGACACATACACAACAAAACAACAACAACAACAAACCAATGCTCTCATTAAGTCCAAGTTGTTAATAGCAGAGAAGGAATTTGGATATTGCTGAAACTACATATACCTTTGTTAATTCTAGGCAAGTGGTTTGTGAGTACTGGAAAAGACAACCTGCTCAATGCCTGGCGGACCCCCTACGGAGCCAGTATATTCCAGGTATAGAAGTGTTCCTTACTTAGAAGGGATGTTTGACCTGCCCACCATGTAGCCTATGAAACCAGAAGCAAGGGCACCTTAGAAAGCAGGGGCCCCCAAGTACCCTGGTTCCACATTAAATGTTCTCTACCTATTGTTTTCTCTTCCAGTCCAAAGAATCCTCATCAGTACTTAGCTGCGATATCTCTGTGGATGATAAATACATAGTCACTGGCTCAGGGGACAAAAAGGCTACAGTCTATGAAGTCATCTACTGAAACACTATATAAGTTTCACATTTATAAGAGAATTGGGCCAAATGTTTTGAATTTGTAGAAATAGAAAAGTTATAACTTAAAAAAAAAAAAAAAAAATCC